ACGAGAGCCCCCTTCTTCTTCGGGCGTGCAGTGCCCGAGTTGTCTTAAACCGCAAGTACACGGCCCCAGCCTTGCAGAAAGTTTTTATCGCCACAAGCAAAACTCAGAGGGGCTGTGCGGCGTGGGGCGCCGTTGAGAAAAAAATCGGCGGCCTTCGAAGTGGTGCGGGTTTCGTGCTGACACCCGCGGGCCGATGTGTGGTGTACTGGTGCTTTAATGCACAAGCAGCAGCAGCACTTCCGCATCTTGCCACTGAACAAGTGATGAGCCGCTGCACTGTAACAGCTAAATATAGGACTTGGCTTGGCTTGGCTTGGCTTGGCTTGGCCTGCTTTGGACCGGTAACGGTCCGCCGCGGCCTGTCTGCTGCAAACATTTTGTCGGTCCGGTAGCTTCCGTGTTACGGACTCCGCCAGGGCTCGATCCCTGGTCTATCTTTTGCTGTTTCAGCTGCATCCCGTTTTCGGCCAGGCACCCTTTTTCCAAACCCCTCCTTTGGTACCATAGGATTTTGGACAACTGGCGCCATGCTGCAATTCGGGCGCCACTTTCAAATACTGCATTTTTCAGTTCTGCCCTCGGGGCCTTTGCAGAAATGCCCCTAGTACCGTACGTGTCACCGGTACTTATACCGGCTCCCGTACGGTACGGGCACCAGTCCTCGTACCAGTTTTGAGCTGCTGTACTCGTACTCAGTGTGACTTGCTCATGTTTCGACATTGGGGAATCCAAAACTTCGACTTTGTGTCCTTGCCACTGTGTCTGCGTCCGACCCTCGGTCGTGTCGTGTCGAGTGAGGGAGTGTGTGTGTGTGCTCTCACTCTCTCCCTCTCTCTCTCTCCTCTCCCTCGGCTCTCCCTATCTCCCTCGACCTCGTACTCGTTACATTCCGGACTTTCCTGGGACATGCTGCAAAATTGGACTTGGGACTGTCGGCCTGGACTGGACTTCTTCTGGACTTCAGATGGACTCCTACCTTAGGTACCGACACCTACTGACCTACGACACTTCGGTAACGACACCTACCGACCTACGACGTTTCAGCCTCTAGACCCTATAGTCTACCCTACTAGGACAGCCTGGGACTGGGACACTTCGGGACTCTGGGACCGGGACTGGGATGTCTGTAGCATGAATACGGACAATGTGAGGGGCTGTCTGTATTAGTTCCTCCCTGGGGAACCAGCGGTCCTCACTGGGTTCCTAATAGGCGAATCAGACCTTATATTGTCTTTGCGATCTCCCTCGGCGACCTGTACGGAAAGTATCTTCAACAACTATTCGGTCTACGTCATAACCTCCATCCATATCTGGTGGGATCATGGAACATCAAGAGGGAAACTGATCGTTTGTAATACAGGGAAGCAACTTAGATGCGTGGAATACTGGGTACGTATGCAGGTGGGGCGGAATCTCGATAGTGTAGGACGGACCATCTGCCTGTCCTTTGACATCTAAGACTTGCCATGGTGCCCTATACGTGGGTAACAGTTTCTGTGAGATCCCCTCTTCAGGAACGAACTCCTTGGACTTAACCCAGACCAAGTCACCTACTGCAAACTGCGATGGTCGTCAATGTTTGTTTGCTTGATCCACCATCCGATGCTGGGTTTTAAGGATGTTCTTCTTGACCTGCTCTACGTCTTTCTCATACTGAATAGCGAATTCCCTCGTACCGGGCTGCAATCTGTGAATCTGATCCGGGTTCAGGCAGTCAATCGGACGTCGGGGTTGCCAACCTCTGTGCAGTTCATTGGGGTGTGTGCAGTAGACAAGTGCACCGAGTTGTTATATGCAGACTGCACTTTGGGGAGATGTTCGTCCCAATCGTTCTGGTCGGGCCTAATGTACATGAGTAGAGCACTTGCTGGAGCAGTTTGTTCATCTGCCTTGTCTGGTCGTTAGTCTCTGGGTGTCTACCAGATGACAGGGTCAACTTCGACCCATAGACTTTCATTAACTGTTGCCTGTGCTCGCCCGTGAATCCAGTCTCTATCGCTAACAATTGTCAGTGGGTGCACATAACCTTTCACCCAGTGATTGGAAAACTCTCTAATCACTAAATCGGTCTTTGCCTCGGTGGGCAGCGGAATAAAAACAGAAAATGTACTAAATCTATCTACTACTAACATTACTTGACTTTTCCCGTACTTGCTTTTGACTTTCGTGTCCATGAAGTTGATTAACACGGATTCGTCGGGACCGAACGGGACAGGTCGTGGCCTCAATAGACCAAGTGGGGCTTGTGTGGAACTTTTGCTCCGCTAACACACTTGACAACCCTGGATATAGGCGATTCAATCATTCTTCATGTCAACCCAGGTATAGGACCTTAGGAGACTAGCGTAAGTCTTTCTACAACCGAAATTGCACTCGGTGTCTTGGCATTCCCCCAAGACCAAGCTTTTGAGAGTCTCACAATTCTGGACGCAGAGTCTGTCAAACCCGTCTGTAAAGCAATCCGTCAGTCACTCTATAATCTGGGACGTCGTGCGGCTTAGTCTGCACCTTTTTAATTAGTGCGATGTAAACAGGGTCGTTAGCATACACAACTTTAATCTGCTGCTGCAGTTCAGTGCGTGCATCCAGGTAGGTCACAATGGCACCGAAGAAATCGACACGTCTACTCAGCGCATCAGCGATGATGTTGTATTTGCTCTTGACTAGTTTCAATTCGAAGTCAAACTGATTATCTCCCCAGCCCACCTAGTGAATTTAGGGGTCATTCGGGCATGGGTTTTCCAACCTGGGTAGGGTCTCATGGTCAGAGTAGACTTTAAGGTGTCTTCCTAAGAGATAGTGTCGCCAGTGGTTTAATGCTTCCCTCAAGGTGAATAGCTCGCGCTCATACGTTGACGCAATGACCTTCTCACTAGACAACCTACAGGACATGAACTCGACTGGTCTATACCCCTCTTCATCATTCTGTTGGAGCACAACGCCAGTCCCGTATTGGCTCGCGTCAATCATGACAATGAATGGGAGTGATGGATATGTAACTTTCAGGATAGGGTACTCAATCAGCGACTTCTTCAATTTCTTGAAGGCTGAGGTGCAGTCTTTGTCCCAATTCGAAATTGTTTCCTTCCTCTGCATTTTGCGTAGTGGTGCAGCGATCATGGTGAAATTTCGTACAAATTTTCGGTAGTAATTGGCTAAGCCTAAGAACGACCGCAGTTCAGTCAGTGTGTGCGTTGTAGGCCAATCCTTGATTGCTGCTATCTTCGTGTCTTCCGTTCAGACTCCATCTCCATGTAACACATGGCCTAGATATAGCACTTGACGCTTCGCCCATTCACATTTTTTCGGGTTCAGCTTGAACTTCGCAGTTTGCAGCTTCTCTAGGATCTAGCGCAGGTGCCGTTGGTGCTCCTCCACAGTCTTACTAAAATTCAAGATGTCGTCTAAATATGACGACGACAAACTTATTTAGCCATTCACGAACGAGATCATTCATGCATCTCTGGAAGGTAGCAGGGGCATTAGTCAAACCAAACTGCATGACCACAAACTCGTAGTGGTCGTAGCGAGTCCTAAAGGTCGTCTTGTGCTGGTCTTCAGGTGATACCTCTATTTGATGGTAGCCCGACTTCAAGTCAATCTTAGAAAAATACTTGCATCCCTGCACCCTATCCAACAAGTCATCTATCATAGGCAAAGGTTCGACGTTCTTCACTGTGATCACGTTCAAATCCTTGTAGTCTATGCACATTCGCAGTTCGCCTTCCTTCTTAGGCACGAATAGGACCGGTGCCCCATATGGCAATCCACCCCTTCTCTATCAAATCATCAAGCTGCTTGCACAGCTCGTCGAGCTCTTTGGGAGACATGCAGTAGATGAGCCCCTTGGGAGTTTTGCTACCGGGCTCTATCTCTATCCGGTGCTTGATTTCCCTTTCCACTACTCCTTTCGGCGTCTCTCCCACATCATCGAACTCTTTCAACAATTTTTCAACTGCGGGTGGTGTTGGCTCGTCCTCCCCCTTCTTGCCCTCACTAACCGCCCTAACATATGCTACGAAAACTTGGTCAACCAAATCGGCCTTAACGATGTGCCTAGCGAATGCAAGGGCACTCATACAACAAAAGGAGAGACTAGACTCCACTCCAAACTCGTGGAACAACCGTATTTTCTTTTTGCCTCCTTCAGGGCTGGGCAGCTAGCACTCGTGCTCGCCCATCTTCACATCATCCCTCACAGCCTCTCCCCAATCCGTCCCTAGAATCAGGTCAAAAGGTAGGCTGTCCTCCCCTAAGAGGGTCAGGGAGTGCAAAACTTTCTCCACCTTGTTCCCCACCTCCAACCGGAAGTATGCCTTTACCCCTTTGACGTACTCTTCTACTCGCGTTTCACGACTTTCAACCAACCTACTCACGCTCGGCTCATCCAACTTCAAAACCTTCATGCCGAGGTGCATCTTCTGCAGTCCCCTTCGCCTAATGTAGCTACGAGTAGATCCGCTATCGACTAACGCGCCTACTCGCTCTCTACTTATCTCTACATCTGCTAATATTAGCTGCCCTTTACCTTTCTTCCTCATTTCGGCCCAAGCCTGGCGATGAGTGATCAACTCATCACCGATGCTTGCAAGGGAACCACCCAGAGAGACCCTAGCACAAGAGGTCTCCGGACAGCTAACCGGGTGGGGGCCTACGCCAGTCTTTGCCATAGGAGCCTTCAAACAGGGGGGTGCCTGCTAATTGCTTCTGTCTGTTTGTCTGTATCTGAAGGTCTAGAGGGAGCAACTGCGACTCCTACTGGCTGCTCCCTTTTGGGTAGCGGTAGTCAGCGCAAAAACGAACAATGTGGTTAGCATCACCACATTTTAGGCATTGGTTGGCATTAAGCCTTTTCTGCCACAACACTTGATCAATGCTCATCTCCTTCCAAGGCTCGCCATCAGCAATCACCGGATGCGCTAGCCATGGTCTGCGCCCTCTATCTCTTCCACCTGTGGAGGAGGAACCGCGTCCATCTTGCGGGGAACCCTTACCCCTACCTCCCTCGTAATAGCTAGCTTCACTACTACTCCCCTGGGTGCCACATCCTCTTCCCCCACCTCTTCCTCAGCCTCCTCTTCCTCAGCCTCCTCTTCCTCGGCCTTCTCTTCCTCAGCCTCCTCTTCCTCAGCCTCCTCTTCCTCGGCCTTCTCTTCCTCCTTGCCGCCCTCCCTCGTGGGCTGCAGCAGCCGAATAGTCCCCTACCTGGGCTACTTGGTTGCTGTTGGTCTCTTCCAGTCTGTAATCTATGTTTTCGTGGGGTAGTGCTTTAACTCCCCCTCCCTCGAACGCAACTAGAAGACTGTCCTTCCCTTCTATACTGCTTGCTATAGTTTTATTCTTCCATCACCCTCCTTTACGCAGGTCCTTCCAGTCATGACAGTAATTGGCCTCCATTAGGAAGCCGGCCTGATCTACAACGATCTTACTAAATTTCTTGTAAGTCATGCCATCCTCTTTCGTACGGGGGTACAGAGTGGTCCTCAAGGGATCAAGCATCGCTCTTGCGAAGTTATTCAGAATCTAAGTGGGGTTTAGACTGTGCTCGGGACATTGCAATAACTCATCCATAGTGTTATGATCTTCGCCAATTTCAAAGTACACATTCATGAAAAGTACAATGCAGTTCAATTGCAAAAAGAAATGAATGAACTTGAGAGGAGAGCGAGGGAAAGAAGAAGAAGAAGAAGAAGAAGATGATGTACACCAGCATAGACCAATGAGAAAGCTCCTCGTCTTCACCAACCACTCTCCTCCTCGTTATTTCCTCCCCTCTTATTCAAACAGGAAATAATGATAGTAATAATAATAATGTTGAATGGCTGAACCAGAATCAATGTCCGAATCCCTCTTCTACTGCAGTTATCACATGAGGTCCACCATAGCCATGGCCACCCTTCTTCCTCCTTCCTCCAAGGTCGAGGCTATGGTGGACTACCAGGGCATCGACCTGCTGTGGAAAGGACAACAGATCCCTCCCATCGGATTAGCCGTGACCTGCGCAAGCGGCAAAAAGCGCTATAGGGGATGTGTTACCCCTCTGTTCGGCACTGTACCAATGTTGATAGCAACTGTGCCACCTTCGCTCTCCTCCCTCCCCCCCCCCCCCCCCCCCCCCCCCCCCCGGTCTCTCTCACACATTCTCTCTCACTCTCTCTCTCACTCTCACTCTCTGTCTCTCCATCTCCTCTCGAATCTACTTCCTCCCCTCACCCCGTTCCCTCTTCAGTTTGTGAATGCAGGTGCTTCCTGCTACGTATGAACATCGTCTGTAGGTATAAGCACGTTCGATTGAAAGGTGATGTTCACACTCGGCGCTATGATTGTAAGTATCCACGAAAAAGCTGTTCCCTAATGAGCGGCATGCTTATGATACTTGTAACACACATACACACACACACGTAGATGCCTGTCTCTTATACACATCTAGATGTGTATAAGAGACAGATATTATGGTTAGGTGGAGAGGTGATTGCTGTGACGTACTAGATTGTAGAAAGGATGGAGTTATTGATGACAAGGGCATGTCCAAACAGGCCAATTACTTCTTCGTTCTTCTGTGTCGTCATCCGTTGAATGACATTTGAGAAAATAGCATCAATTTGGGGGTTGTGTCCCGTCTCTTGAGATAATTGGATGCCAAGTAGCTTTGAAAAATGTACAGAGGCTCTAGGAAGGCATTGAATGCCCCAATCCATGATCTCACCTGTGGGACGTGAGGAAACAGGAACCGTTTTGTCCCAATTAATTCGTGCTCCAGGGAAAAGTGAAAAGATGTCTAGGCCGGGCCGTAGTTCTGTCAATTGTCCTGAGATGGGTAATAAGTAAGCAGTCGAGTCATCAGCAAAAGCCGAAGATAGGAGCTCCTCTTGACTCATTTGCAGTCCTCTGAGGATTGGTGAAGCCCAAATCATGTCATGAAGGTTTTCAACATAGAGAACGTAAAGTCCCGGAGAAAGCGAACAGCCCTGTCGGACAGATCTTGTAATTGGGAAGGCTTGATATCTCATACCATTGATCTGTAGAATTACTTCTCCTGATGAAAACAATCATGTGTACCCAATTGCACATTCTTGTACCAAATCCTCGTCGCCCGAGGCCTTCTATGAAGAAAGTCCACAGGACTCGATTTCTATGCTCTCTACATTCTATTTAGTGGCATTTTTTTTCCGCTTGCTTGCTTGCTTGCTGGCTGGCTGGCTGACTTTGATTGATTGACAGATTGGTTGACGGGTTGCTTTGATGGATTGTTGAGTTTTGTGTGAAGTGGTCATCTCTGCATTAGCTGTGTGAAAACAAACAAGGGCTTCCACCTTGAGTTTTTTTGTGAAGGGGTCTATTGCTTACCACAATGGCCTCCTGGAGAGTCATTATTTGTCGGTGGCGGACGACATGCCGGCGAGGAACGCCTGCCCATGCATCCATGCTCTGCAACTGCTGAACACAATCGTGCACCATACATTGAATAAGCACATCATCATCTGTTGGCTTTCTGTGATCCACTGATAGCTATATGCTGCTGTTTGTATGCAATACAGAATCAGGTGGCCCATTGGATTGAAAATCTAAAGCCACAGTACATGTGCAAGGGTTGGCCCAAATTTTCAGAAGATGGCGGCAGCCTGAACCACCAGTATGCCACAACAAGGCCATGTCCCGTGCTGGTATACACAGGGCCGGGGTCCAGCTCGACCTAACAGATGAAAATGGCTGATGGCCACTCGCAGACCCTGGACTTGCAGAGTTTGGCGGTCGATGAACAGGCAACAAAGCCCTCTTGTGCTCGTATACACGGGGCCGTGGTCAGGCTTGGCCTACCAGATGAAAATGGCTGACGACCAGCAGCAGGGCCTGCCCTTGCGGCGTTTAGTGGCCCAGGAGCAGGCAAAATCGTCTATCGGAAAAATAGGCTCAGGTGTACTGGTACTTTAAGGGCATGGGTTCCCATGTACCTGCCTGGTGACTGAGTGATATATATGTAGACCATGAGATCGCCCGAACTTGTGGTCAGCCGCTTAAACCACCAGTACTTCCAAAAGTCGCGCCAGCATGTGCACCGACCTTTGGGGATGAAAGAGCCTGGGGCGCTGGAGTAAATTCATTCAAGTGGAGACTTGGAGGCACTGTAGCAATGGCTGGCTGCATGCACGTCACGACTTCTGAAAGCACTGGTGGTTCAAATCACCACTGTCCCACGACCCTAGCAAGGTTTGCACCAGTGCACAAGGGGACCACGGTTCAGTTCAGCCTTGTGGCCAAATGAACCAGTGGCCCTTGGTAGGCCCAACCTCACAATGATTTGGAGGTCTAGATTTCAGTGGCAAATGAGGTTCCGAGAATTTGCCATTGAGAGCATTTCCCCTTTCCCTCAGCACATTCCAGTTCTCCAACTCCAGCCCCGGACTACCGCCGGCGGCTGTAGGATGCCCGCGTTTTCCTTTCTTTTAACCGAAAAGAAAGTCAACCATGCTACCACACAACTAAGAATTTACTAGAATTATAGGGGAACCTAGGCTACCACAGTGGCCCGGGACCACTTGCCCGGCCGGGCCAAAAAAAAAAAAAAAAAAAAAAAAAAAAAAAAAAAAAAAAAAAAAAAANCAACAACACCAACAAAAAAAAAAAAAAAAAAAAAAAAAAAAAAAAAAAAAAAAAAAAAAAAAAAAAAAAAAAAAAAAAAGATGCACTACAGCCAACCGGGGCCCGGTCGACCGGCCGGTAGGACCAGTCCGGTTCCGGTTGGGGAGGACCCCCCGGTCCTACCGGGTTTTCAGCACTGGTCAGTATCCCGCGAGGCGAAAATGCCCTTACCAACGGATAAGACCAATTCTGGACGCAGGCCCTTTGTTTTTTCTTTTCTTTGTTTTTTGTCTTTTCCTGAAAGGGAGTAAGTCAGTTCTTTTTAATACTGCTTGTCTGAATGCATCTCGATTCGAACTCGGGTCTCCCATTTCAGAAGTGGTGTAGGTGTGCAGACTGTGCTAGGCCCGTTGGTGAATCATCCCGTTCCGACTCTGACAGATTCGACACCGAGCTCCACCACTCAGCGCATCCACAAAAGACAAGAGTTGTGGCGGTGTATGTTCCATGTTCAAGGCAAAGACTCAGAGGCTCGCCGCACAGGCTGTCAAAACTCAAAGAGTTTCGACAGGTGTCAGAAAAAAATTGAAAGTCAGCGGTCGACAGCTTACCCCCCCTTCGCCACATAGGCTGTCGAAGGGCAAGGTTTTTGGTCATGGCCAGGCGGACTCCGTCACCTGACAATGCAAAATCGAACGCAATTTTCGAAACGTCGGCGGGCCACTGTCGAATTTCCGTCACCTGCAGGCTGGAGGAAACGATTGCTGGAGGGCGGCTGTCGAAAGTATCATTCTGACACTTGTCAAAAAAAATTTGAGCCGCAATTCTTCAAAAGTCTGTTTGGCGATGCAAAATTGTTGAAAACCTGGTTTTCGACAGCCTGTGTGGCAAGCCTCTCATTCTCACTTTGCACATTTGGTGAGCGGTCGAGCTGGACCCCTTATCTTACGGATTCTGACCGCAGGGCCATCAAAACAGCCGCGCAACGTGCAAAATATGGTGGGGGAATCTTTCCACTTTCCAGGTGGAAGATACATTCTCATCTGTTGCAAGCCGCCCTCAAGAACGTTCTCATTTTTTTTAGCAAAACCATAAAGGGAAGAACATCTGTCAGTCCTGACATTCTCTGTTTCTAGCAATAACAGCAACAAGAGAACAGTTTGAGTGCCGAGGACGACACCCTCATCATGACCGTATCGTACCTGAAATTCCGTACATGTACACACACAGGAGACAATACACACCAACACGGGGACATCCACAGAACACAAACAGTTCTTGGAGGAGTGCAATCCCAAATATTTTTTTTTTCTTCCTGTCCTATTTTTCCTAGGAAAAGGGGGGGGTGTGCCACCACACCTCGCCACTCTCAAAAATTTCCGATGACAGTCACAACCCCCTATTTTCGGGTTGCGCTGCACTGAGTGCGCGCGCATGGATGCGTGTGCACTGGGCACCGCACGTGCGCCATGCTCGTGCACGCAGTGGTCTGCATGTATGGTATAAGACTGAATCTGCCACAACAATTATTCTGTCGATGCAATTCTGTTGATTTTGGAAAGAAAAACTTAAACTCTGAAAAAGTCAAAAAATGGTAAGCTCTCTGAAGAGTCTAAACCACTTTGGGATTATGTTAGAGAAGATGAGAGTTGGTGCTTGAAAGCCAAACAAAGGAACACACAGCACGAGAGTGTGGTCCCAAGTTACTTGACATGGAGAATCATTCTCAAGAACAGAAGATTAAACTAACAAGCATTTAACTAACCAGCATCCATCTGACATTGCAACTTTTTTTTCCCTTTCTCTGAAGCTCTGAACTAAGCTATATTCTTCTCTCAAATTCTTCCATTACCTACCTACCTACCTATCGCTTCTACTAAGCCTATACGGGGGACCCCTGTGAGCATTGCTACCTCTCCCGATCAAGGGGATGCAACTCCCTGATAGGTAGCTTTCAATAGCAAATATGAAGAAGTTGAGGCACTGGCAACTGACATGAAATCAGCACAAAGTGAGAGGCTTCACATCCAGTGGAGGACACATTGTGCTGAAACATTATGAACAAAAGTGTTCAAGTGACAAAGTGGAAGATGAACATCGCACAGGTAGTGAACTATGCATCTAGATGATCTAGTGCAAAAGCACAAGTGAATGACAGCAATGAGAATTGCAGCACACACACACACACACACACACACACACAGAGAGAGAGAGAGAGAGAGAGAGAGAGAGAGAGAGAGAGAGAGAGA